AATGTCAAGGCGCAACATTCACGTTGATTCTTGATGCTCAAGTCCCAGGAACGGTGTTCTGGCAAGATCCAGGACCGTCGAGACGCAACAGTAACGGTGATTCGCGGTCTTGATGTCCCAGGAGTGGCGTTCTGGCACAATACTGGATTTCCAAACGGTTGTCTTCCGACGGGACATTCCCTTCAGTGAACATGAATATTTGTCGGAGCCTCTGAAGAGGGAACTTGGACGGATGGTTTATTGCAATGTCGTTGATGAGTCTTGGGGTTGCACTGGTCCTCCTCCTCCTCCTCAGGCCTCCTCCTCCTCCTCGTATACGCACTCGTCATCCCATCTCCCCCTCGTATTATGTCTCCTCCTCCTCCTCTTCCTCGTGTTCGTACTCGTCCTCCTCATCTCCTCGTTTGGGTGCGAGCAGATCATGGTCGGAAAACCGCGCCGCACCACCGATGCATCTGCGGTGCGGCTCGACGTGGAGCCCGACCTGCTCCACGCCAGCGGCGGCGCTGCATCGTCGACGCATCGCCCTTCGCAGCGGCGATGCATCGGTGATGCGGCGCGGTCCTCCGACCACCGTGTGCTCGGGCCACGCGTGAGGGGGCGCCAGTCACGGGCCTCCGCCTTTCCAGTGAAGAGCCATGCCAAGAAACACCCTTCGAGTATAGCCAGGACCCCGGGTAAGGGGACCCGGTTAGTGGTAGGGCCCAGGGGCCCCTCAGTTGGCCAGATTCACTAAACCAGGTTTGCAGTAGCTGGTGTTTTTCGGGTGACGGCAGTTCCGGTTAGTGGAAATGGGACGGGGGGGCGCCCCCGGTTCATATCACTAAACCAGGTTCCACTAAACCCAGTTCTGCCAACGCCCGAACCCTGCTTGCCTCCAGGGTGCCCTGAGTCTCTTCTTGGGCTTCGATGGCCTGCCGTGGGAAGTGTGCCGTTCCCACACCAGAAATCAATGGACGTCCTGGGGTCTCAGGGTTGGGTTTCTCGTGACAGGTTTCTCTTGTGGTCGGGCCCCAGCTCTGTGAACAGCAGTCCGCGTCGCAGCGAGCGGCACGCACAAGGCTGGGAAGTGCCATTGGCGTGCCGGATGGTGCGGCAGTGCCCCATAGGGGGAAGAGGAGGCGCCCCGCGGGGGGCCCCCCGCCGGCCCATCCTGGCGGCGGCGGGCCGAAAGGGGGAACCTGAGGATACACGGAGACGTGCTGCAGATTGACATTAGGTCGGGCCTGTCCCCCTACAGGAGGATTTCCGACGAAAAATAAGCAATACCCCCAAAATAGTCTAACAATAGTCCAAAATAGTCTGGGAACTATTTTTTGATTATTTTTTTGCCCTTTGGGTTTTTTTGGGGGGTTTTTGTTTGTTCGTCAAAAATGCCCCTGTAGGGGGACAGGCCCGACATACGATTGAACTGTTGCTCTGGTGTACACGTTACTTTGCTGCCGCCTCTGCTGTTCCGGGCGGTGGCCGTCCGAGGAGGCCCCGGGGGGGGGCTCCTCGGGAGCCCCCCCCCGCCTCGCGGGAGCAGCCTCCGAAGGCCCGAGCCCGTCCGACCTCGAGGGGAAGCGCTGGGATGGGAGCAGTCAGGTCACGCTTTCGGCGGCGCGCCCACGCCGGGCGGGGGCGCGGGAGGGGCAGGCCTCCTTGGAGGGCGGCGGGGCCTCGCAGAAGCCCCTCGGCCTTGCAAGGTAGCCGTCGGTGCTTTCGGGAGGAGGCTCTCGGACAGCATTTTTGTCGGGAGGCCGGAGCTTTTGCCGCTGCAGCGTGGGCGCCCGGAGGTCTGGACCTCTGCTCTCCCCCCCGGACCTCGGTGCTTCACCAAGGGGCACCTTTTTGGGGGACCGTGCGGGGGGCCCAGCGAGGGCCCCCAGAGCCAGAACAAAGATTGCTTGTTCGGCGTGCGGTCGGGAACGTTGGTTCAGCGTGCCGCTCCCCCGGCTCTGGCCCACCACGATGCGGTTGGGCGCCGCGTAATGGGGGGGTCATAAATGGGGGGGTGTCGCGGGTGGTCCGAAAAGGTACCCAAACGGTACCTAAACGAGCCCCCTGGGGCTCCGGAGGGGCCCGAAAGAGGCACGAAAGGGGACCTTTTTTGACCCCCCCCTTTGTGACCCTCCCCATTAAGCCACGCCCAATGCGGCGCGACACGCTATCCCCATCCCAGTCTGCAGGCGTCAGCGTCCCGAACCTCTCGGGAGTCCTCCCGCCCCCGCGGAGCGGAGCTGCACGCTGTCCGCTCGCAGGGCGTATAGGGTGTTGCCGGGGCCGCCGCCGCGACATGCTGAGCAGAAGTTCCCGACAGGATTTTCTGAAAGGTTCGCGCGGGTTTATGGAAGTTCATGGTCATGCCGTGTGTTGCGCGTCTGTCGAAGCTTTGCATGCGAAGCGGCATTGTCGTTCTGGAGGCCACTCTTTGTGTTGCTGTGGCGACCGTGAACACTGCGGATCCTCGTCCTGAGCGACAGAGACCCAGATAATTATGCGGCGTTCTGAGTTTTCCATCACGCGGTGCGTCGGACCCAGGCATAAGATCGAGGTCGGTTCGGGGAGGGTGCCTTCATGTTCTTCGTGCTTGTTGGATGCTCTTGTGCATCCGGGGGGAGGTGCCCTCCGATGTTCTTTCCAATTTTGCCTGCGGAGGGTCGCATGTTCTTGGAGGATGTTCTTCTGTCCTGGGTCCGGCCGTAGCCCATGGGGGAGCAATGCGTGTATCCAGGGGCGCCGAGGGTGATGGGCCGATTTTCCATCACCACTGCCATAGGTAGGAGAGGGAGAGGGAGGAGGAGGAGGAGGAGGAGGAGGAGGAGGAGGAGGAGGAAGGAGGAGGAGGAGGAGGAGGAGGAGGAGGAGGAGGAGGAGGAGGAGGTCACCTCCCCCTCTCAGGGTCACCACCCCCTCTGGTGCCTTTGGTGGGTCCCGACCCCTCCGCGGCGCCACTCGGGCTGGCGTCGCGGGCGTCCTGCCCGCCGGGCGAGGACGAGGCCGAGGCCCCCGGCCTGGACGTGGCGGAGGCGCTGCTGGGCGGCGGCCCCCCGCGCGGCGCGCTGCCCGCCCTGCGAGGGGCCCGCGGCGCGCGCCGCGGCTTCGAGGAGGCCGCGCGCGGCCGCCGCCGCCGCCGCCGGGAGGGCTGGCTCCCCAGACCCCCTCGAGTTATGAAAAAATCACGACGGCAGGTTTTTCATTAATTTTGGCCTTTCGGGGCCCTTACCGGCCCTCGGGACTGTCAAACAACGACTCAGGACGAAGAACCGGTCCTGGGGAAAAGGTCCAGACCGCTGGGGGTCGACGTCATGAAAAGTTCATGACGTCGGGGGTCTGGGTCGGGTCGGCTTCACGTAAGAGTGACCCCTCGCCGGAGTGACCTTTGGTGCGGGCCCACCGGGGCCCCCCGATGGCCGAGCGCGATGCGGTGGTCGCGCCTCGCGCGCTCGTGCTTGGCCCCTCCCGTGGCCCCCCCCAAAGCCGCGCACAGAAGGTCTCCTCCTCCACACGGTCTCGCCGACTTGCCTTGGCTGTGCCGGCCTCGGTGCGACGCTGTAGCATCGAGGGGTCCCCTTCCCATCAGTTGGGAAACTTGCGATTTTAACATGTACTTCAAAACATACGATTCGCAGAAAAAAACTCTTACCCAGGGTCATTATTTGCGTGTAGCCGAGGGCCAGGCAGTGGCGACGCGCCGCTGGAGGCAGGCACCAGCTCTGTGCCTGCAGTGGGCTCTTCTGGCCGCCATCCCACAGGCTCGGTTTGAAGCAGTCCTGTTGCCTTCGCCAGAACTGCCTTCAGTGACACATGTGTTTTCCCCTTCAGTGAGCTCGCTGCCGTCATCACCAGGATGGGTGGCTCTCGGTGAGCTAGCCCATTGCCGCCGTCTCAGCAGTTTTTGAAGCACCCGAAAATTTGACCTTCCAAAACATGCTTGCCTTCTGTGAAACATATTTGCCTCCAGTGAGCTCACTGCCGCTACCCCGAGCATGTTTTGCCTTCAGTGAGCTCGTTGCCGCCATCACAAGAATTGTTGAAACAAACGTGTTGGCTTCATTGAACAAATCCTTCATTGAGAAAGGTTTGCCTTCGGTGAGCTCGTCGCATCCATCCCAAACATGTGTTGCCTCTATGGAGCTCATGGCTGCCATCCCGATGCAGGCAGGCTTCCCTAATTACATGCCCACCAGAGAATGCTCTAAGAACCGAGTGCGGCTTTCACAACTTTTTCTTAGACCATTTCTGGCTGAGACTGTTTTGTTTCAATACGTCGGCCTCATGTTCTGAGAACATGGTTTTTGTTATGGGGGCATTCTGTTGTTCTAAGATGCTGTCGTGGTAGGCCTATAGGAATGCTGGGACGGTCGGCCCCTGCTCATTGAGCCTCCCAGACCCCCTCGAGATATGACAAACATCGCGACGGAATGCTCTTCCCCGTTGTCGGCGTGCGGGGCCCCTGCCGGCCCTCGGAGGGAAAGGGCGGTCCCAGGGAGTGGGTCGAGACCTCGGGGGGTCGACGTTACAGTGGAGACCCACGCGAAGAAGCACCCTGCTTGCCTCCAGGGTGCGCCGGGTCTCTTGGGTCTCGATGGTTTTGCGATGGGAAGCGCGACGTCCCCACACCAAACACCAACGGACGTCCTGGGGTCTCAGGGTTTGGCTTCTTGTGGAAGGCTTCTTGTGGTCGGGCCTCCACTGCATGACAGACTCATGGCGTCGGGGGTCTGACGCCAACATTGTTTCTGTTGAGGCATGCTACAACAATATCCAGGATAATAATGCGCATGAGAATAAGAATCATACTCATGAGAATAACAAGAGTACTCATAATACTAAGAAGCATTCTCATAATAATAATAATAATAATGTACTCATAATAATAAGGATAATACTCTGGGGCCTGCCGCCCCGCGAGAAAAAGAGAGAGAGAGAGAAAGAGAGAGAAAGAGGAGAGACGTCGGCCCGAGGCCCCTTGCCGCGGCCTCCCCGTGCCCTCACGCTGTGCGCCCTCGCCGCAGATGCCGGTTCTCCCCCCCCGCCCCCGCTCGGGCAGCCTCCGATCAGGGCCGCGCGAACAGCACAGTCGGGGCCCTGAAGAAGGAACCCTTTTCGTTGGGGAGGGGCTTGGTGTTCCTTGATTGTTTCAAAGTTTGCCTCGGGTTTTCCTGCGGTTTTCCATCGGAAATCGAGGTTGAACTTATGGGAACAAGGGGCCTCGTTTCTTATTTAGGGTTCCTTAGGTCAAGGCCCCGACTGTAGGGGCACAAAAAGTGACATAAACATTAAAAACTCGGAGGTCCGCGCGGATTTCTCGGATCGGCGCTGGACCCCCCTCCCTGGCGCGCGGAGCGCGCCAGGGGCCGCGCCGGAGGCGCCGCCGGGGGGCCTCAGCGCCGATCCGAGAGATCCGCGCGGGCCTCCGAGTTTTTATGTTTATGCCACTTCTTGTTCCCCTAAACAAGGGGCGTTGCCAGCCAGGATTCGGCGGCGAGGTCCGAAGCCTGCCCTCGCCGATCCAAACGATTCGGGCAACTCGATGGGCGGCGGAGTGGGGTCGAACGCGTGGCGAACTCCGAACCCTGCCCCCGCCTCCCACCGAGTTACAGGAGATGCGACGTCCCGTGGGGGGAGGACATGGCTGTTTCCCCCTAGCGAGTATACCCAGACCCCCGACGCCATGATCTTTTCATAACGGCGACCCTCACAGGTCTCGACCCTTTCCCTGGGACGTTTTTTTCATCCCGAGTCGTCTTGTCGTGGTCGTCGTTGTCGTCGTCGTCGTCGTCGTCGTCGTCGTCGTCGCTGTCGTGGTCGGATGGTCGGGGTGGGGATGCGTGCTGTCCGCCACACTCCCGCGGCCGCCCTCGTCTCCCTTTCCCCTCGCCTCCCTAGGCGGCCATTTTAAACGAGAGGCTTGCAGGGCTGCCCTCGCATCCTTGCCCCTTCGGCCCATCCGCAGCGCCTCTCGCTGGCCGACCTCGCGCGAAACGCGTTCACTCGGCCCTTCAACGACCCTCGCAGCCCTACCGCGCACCCTTGTTCTATGGGCTGGCTGCACGCCGCTCCGCTGACCCCCTACCTACTGTAGGGGCCCCTCGGCATCGCTCGGAGGTGTGCATTTTTTCCTCGGCGAGGACCATGGAGGAGCATCCTGGATGACTCAGCCAAAAAATCACGCACGAAATCGAAAAATACACGAGGAATGGACGTCGGAGCGATGGCAAGGCCCCGGCGCCCCCGGGTTGGCGCCCAGGCGGGCCCCCCGGCCACGGCGCCTCCCGCTCGAGACGCCCCCCTCGCGTCTCCCGCAGGAGCGGCACTCTCGCCCGGGCCCGCGGCCTCTCCCGCCCCCCCCCCCCCCCCCGCGGGCAGGCTCTTTGTATCTGTGTCCGCTGCGTCCTGGAGGTTTCGAGGAGGAGACCGACTGCAGAAAGGATCTGCCCCAGAAACCGATTTGTTCGCCCGAGCTACTACACACATAAGTATATACACACATACACCTACATCTTCATATTCATATTTTCATTGGTATATCTAATGTTTGACGAACGTTTCGATTTTGGGGCGAAGTGTCCCGAAAGAGAAGTTTCGGGCTCCCTTGCCCAGCCCAGAAAAACCAGGGGCGCAATGCACATGCATGAACACCTGGCCGCTTGGAGGCCAGATTCTTATGCATATTCACTGCGCCTCGGCCTTCTTTCGCCCCTTGCCAGGAAGTCCAAGAGGCAGTGGAGATGCATACTCCAGAGTCCATAATGAAGTGGGGGAGCCGCGCTTTGGAGAGGCTCTGATTTGAGCTGCCTTGGAGGATTCGAGGGGTCTGGGCAACAGGCCGCCCCTTCATGGCTGGTCTGGGCGGGGGGGGGGGTCTGCACTTGCTCGTCCCGGGGGGTTGTGACCCCCTCTTCCTTTTATCACGACATATATGCAGAGCAGAGCTCGTGCCCGCGCCCCCACCTGCGAGACTGTCCCACTCTGGACGTCCCGGGCTCCCCGGGGTGGCCCCGGAGCCACCCCCACCTCTCGGGACGAACGGGAGGGTAATGAGGGAAAGGGGGGGAACGAAATCTGCTGCATGCAGATGGTCTCGGCTCCGCCGCGGGGCCCGATCCTCGCTAGGCCTGGGCGCCTCCCGGCGCCGGGAGGCGCTGGGAAGATCAGCTGCGCGATCTGATTCTCTCGGGGGCCCCCAAACGGTGTGGTGTGGTGACCACACCGTGCGGTGAGTCGGTGGGGATCCGGGGTCACCGCACGGTTCTGGGACTCGAGTCGTCTCTCCGAGGATGTTGTCTCGGGCGATAGGGGCCTCCAGGGTCCCAAAGCCGTGCGGCGACGGACCGTGCGGTGAGGTCTTGCGGGATCTCGAGGTCACCGCACGGTCTGTCACCGCACCGTTTCGGGACTCCAGATTCTCTATTGCCCCTTTGCTATTGCCCCAGGAGGAGGAGGAGGAGGAGGAGGAGGAGGAGGAGGAGGAGGAGGAGGAGGAGGAGGAGGAGGAGGAGGAGGAGGAGGAGGGGAGGATTCTCTACCCTACCCTTTGCTATTGCCCCTTTCGTTCCCCCCGAACCTCCCGGGGCCGCCCCCTCGGCCTCCGGGCGCGCTTATACGGGGGCACGCACGGCTGCCGGCTCGGCCGCGCGGGCTCGCGCGTCGACCTCGCGAGTCCGGGGGCGGCTCGAAGCACAGCGACGGTGAGATGCGCTCCTCGATGCGTTCCCCTTGGTGCCCAGACTCCCTCGAGTTATGAAAAAATCACGACGGGAGGTTTTCATAATTTTTGGCCTCTGGGGGCCCTTACCGGCCCTCGGGACCGTCAAAAAACGACTCAGGACGAAGAACCGGTCCCGGGGAACGGGTCCAGACCGCTGGGGGTCGAGGTCATGAAAAATTCATGACGTCGGGGGTCTGGGTGTCAGGCAGTGGCGAGGCGTCCTGGCTCGCCTGCAGGCCCACCAGAGAGTCTTCCACGAAGCTTCTGTCGTCAGCACGAGAAGGGTTCTTGGAGCACTTCTGGTCGAGACCGCCTTGCCTCAACACGTCGGGCTCATGCTCTAAGCACACTGCGTCTGTGTTCTCAGAACCGTTTTCGGTTCTAAGCGTAACCCCAGGAAGCATTTAAGAACCCCCCCCTCCGGCAAATCGATAACCCTTCCGCACCATCATCCATATCCGCATCATCATCATCATCATCATCATCATCATCATCATCATCATCATCATCATCATCATCATCATCATCATCATCATCATCATCATCATCATCATCATCATCATCATCCGTAGCCATTTGGGCTCAAGGTGGCGCGATCAGGGCAGATGTCTGGTCTCATGAGGCTGGCTCTAGCCGTCGCGTCCATTCTTGGGTCAGATTCCCAATCTTCCAAGCTTTCAGTGTGGCCCTTGGGGCCACAGTTCTTTCCATATTACATCCCCGACACCCGGCCCCAGTCGCCCGATTGGGAGCCCAGCCGCGGCGGGCTCGACCAATGGCAGGACGAGGAGGTGGTGCTCGAGGAGCCGCGCGCGGCGGCGGCGGCAGAGCCAGTAGTGGCCGTGGACAGCGGGGCGGCCAAGCTCCAGGCGCGGGCGGCAGCGGTGCAGCGCCCAGGGTCTGGGATTGCCCTCAGTGCGGAGCCAAGAAGAATTGGGGCTCTCGGCATGTCTGCAGGAGTTGCGGCTACGACTGGTGGGAAAGCGGTTCTGGTACGAGTTCTTGGTGGAGCGGCATGTCACAACTGGACGCCAGAGAACGCCACGAGCTCAACCAGTTGCGGAGGAAGGTCAAAAAGTTGGAGTCCAGCAGCCAAGCAGGACCAGGAGTCGATGGCGGTGGCGCTGGGGCGGCAGGCGTTGGGTCGCAGCCTGACGACAAGTCAGAACGTGTCCGCCGATTGGGCAAGCTACGAAGTGAGATCAAGAAGATCGAGGGCGTGGACGGCGCGGAGGCCATTCTCGAATCCAAACGGCAGGAGGCGCAGCAGTTGGAAAACGAGCTGGCAGCAACCAAGCCTACATCAGTCCAGCTCAGTGAGTCGGAGCGCAAGCAGAAGAACCAGGAGGCCACCACGGCGGCCTTGGCGAGCAGGATCTCGGCGGCGGACAAGCAGCTCGCTGAACTACAGGCCCACAAGCTCGAGCTGGAGGGCAAACATGCGCAGAGTCAGGCCTGCGAGAAGGAGCTCCAGGCGCTCATCGACAACCTCCTGGCGCAACAGCTCCGCGAGCGTGAAGCACAGCAGCGGGAGGAAGGGCCGCGAGGGACGGCTGCCCCAGCGACCCCAGGCGCCCAGCTCAGCGAGGGTGAGCGAGCCACCGCTTTCCTCGCCGCTCTTAATCAGTGCTCAGGCATGCTCGCCCCTGGCTTCGCTGAGCAATGGGACGGCCAAGTCGCAGAGTTGCGGCGTCTGGCACAGCGCGTTGCCGCAGCAGGGGCCGCGGCGGAGCGTGACGGGAGCGGCGACGAGCAGGAGATCGACGAGAAGGACGTCGACGTCATCTTGGACTCCCTGGAGGAAGAGGCCACCGAGGAGCGGGCAGCAGAGGCCGTGTCGGGCGAGGTGGGCAACGGCGAGGAGGCAGGCGACGCTGCAGGCAAGGCCGCCGCAGCCGCCGCCATGCGCAAGCTTCGTGCCCAGAAGCTCCTCCAAGGACTCCGCTCCGCGGGGATCCGCAGAAGGGGGAAGCGGGGGTAGCCGCCCTCACTTCACCATCGTGAGCCTCAACGGCAGCGGATGGGGCCCTTTCACCACCATCCTCGGCGAGCAGCAGGACCCACAACAGCAGGCGGTGGCGGAGGCTCACCTCGGCGACGCACTGTGCATCCAGGAGCACCACCTCAACGGCTACCGCGCCGTGGAGCAGGAGCAGTGGTGTCGACAGGTTGGCTGGAGCGCCGTGCTGACCCCAGGGGTGAGCTCGGTCGGCGCAAGCCTCCAGCACGCCGTCAGCAGCGGCACTGGCGCGGCCGCGCGCACCTCGCGTGGCACGTGCGGGCCAGGCGCTGGCGGCAGCAAGGACAGCT